AGAATTGTATCTTTATTTTTGCGGGTACAGTAACAGTTGGTTACATCAACAGCCATCGGAGGTTACAGCCATGTAGTGCGCCATGACGAAGTTAGTTGTTGAACTATGAGATGTACAAGGTACACATATAAATCACTATTCAAGTCCAAAGACAGATTTTTGAACGCATCTAGAGAGTTGTAACTTCGTTGGTGCGAGTACGGTAACAGTTGGTTACATCAACAGCCATCGGAGGTTACAGCCATGCAGTGTGCCATGACGAAGTTAGGTGTTGAACTACAAGATGTACAAAGCTGAAAATAGAAAAATTCAGGCAGCAGAAAATTGACACAAAACAGACAATTTATTTTATATATTCATACATTACATACAGGGTGTTGGTGGGTGGGGAATTTTTTAACACAATATAAAATAAATAAACAAATTTTTATCTTGAGATGCAGGATATGTCTGCTCCCCTTCTTTCTCTAACGGAAAAGGAAGTCCTAAGGATTCGACTAAAATAACAAAAGTTGAAAGAACGGGGAAATACTAATGACCGAATAACCACGAATATGGGCCTCTCTAATAACGCGATTTAATTTTCAGCAATTAAATCGAATTATTAGAGAAAACCACACATATATAAATTTCTCAAAGTTTAATGGCGAATAATGGCCATGGCAGCACTACAATTTTCAGGAAATTACATTTAGTTACTGGTTACAATCGTAACCAAGGTTACCGACCCAAATACATTGGGCGATTTTGGCAACCCAAATGGCAAATGGCAAATACATGTAAATGAAAATCATCATGAAATGGGCAAATACATTGGGCGATTTTGACAACCCAAATGGCAAATGGCAAATACATGTTAATGAAAATCATCATGAAATAGGCAAATATAGAAATGAATATGAAATAGGCAAATATACAAATGAAGCTGTTAAGCAACCTACTGGCAAATAATACATTGCAAATGTTTCATCCAGTCTGACACAAATAATCAAGTTGAAATTTCACACATATTGAAAATTATTATGTACAGTTGTAGGGAGCCCTGGGAACAGATGCTCACTAAATATAACCCTATTTAAGTTCAGCTAAAGATTGCGCCAATGGACACTATGTGTCCACCGCCACAATGGCGGTAGCTGAACGCTTATGATACCCCCCCCTCCTTTTTAAAGAAAGGCAAAGCAAATAAATTAACATTGCATACCAAGACAAATGAGTATAAAACAATCGCATTAGCTACATCTATTGTGTGTCTATTTTAGTGTGCTTTACATTATTTAGTCAGTGAAATAGAGTGCCATGGCCATTAAAGCCCACCCTTGACATTTTAAAATTATGCAATGCTTTCCTCAAAGTTTCAGCAAATATCTCATTGCCTTGCTCTGAACAGTGCACACCATCCTCTTAAAGTAAAGTATGATCAACCAAAGTAAACTCTGGGCAACAAATATATCCCCCTTGATGGGCCAACAACAAAGCTATAAACTCGAAACCCGTCTTTAGTAAGAGCATGGTTGTCCCTAGCATTGCGCCAAATCAATCTAGGTAATATCTGAAACCAAATAATTTTCAATAATTGGTGTTTGGTAACAGAACTAAAATTGAATCAAAAGAATTATTTATGCTATAATGCAAAACACATGATGGAATTTGACCAATGCCGTTGCCATCGCAATGTAGAACCAGATTATTATTGTGGGATATCTTCATACCTTAACATTAATTTGATTTTTGGGAGGAGATGTCACCCTCTCATGCCGCTTTTTCCCTGCCACCAGATATTAGCTTTCAATGCGGATAACCCAAAATTGGACCCCCCATTTTTTCTAGCATAACCAAAACCTGAAGTCTCTGTCGAGACTGTAGCTCTACTGGTTTATACTGAAAACAAAGGAAGAGAAAGGTAGCAGTTGGGACTTGAAACTTTAAAACAGCATAAATAGAAAAATGATCCTTGCCACTCATCAAAATAAACCGATGCACAGAATTATGTATCCTAGCATAGTCAACCTGTGTGCCAAGTTATCTCGAAATAAGACCAAAACTGTAGGAGGAGTAGTATTTTGAAAGAATTTCACAGAAATTTCAATTCTTAGTAACCATGGCAGCACCATTTATTGAAATCCCAAAATCATGCCATAATATTGACGACAGAAATTTCTATTCTTAGTAACCATGGCAGCACCATTCATTGAAATCCCAAAATCATGCCATAATATTGACGATCCAAAAATATATACAGTGTGTATTCTTACACCCTCTGAAATATTTGAAAACAAAAATGATCATATTTAAAATAAGATTTAGCATAAAGGTATTAGAAAACCTATCAAGCTATACTGCTTGAGGTGCTTAAGAAGTAATACAAACATTTGAGTCTTTAGCCATCAATGAATTTGAGATTGGTATTCTTATTTATCTCTTGTAAGCTTTTGATCCCCAACGACCTAATTCTTGATATAATTGTCAATCTAGCATCTACAGAACTTTGCAGTCTTGACATGCTTACTACCATATTTTACATAAAAAAGTCTCAAGTACCATCAAGTTTACATTTAAAGCTTGTACAGATATGTTCTTACCGTAGAGTATGACAGATACTTTAATGAACAGCTAGCCATAAATTCTATTATCTATTTTTCATTAGGATGCCAAATCGGATGTGACCCACAAGATAATAAGACAAGCCTTGAACTGTATATTGTTTAAACTGGAACAAGCTAAAAAAGTTATGTCCCTGATTACTTCAGTACCAACCCATTCACTTGTTCTCTTAAAAAACAACCAATGATTCTTAAAGAAAGCACCACAACCTAATTCTGAATTCCATGCACTATCAGTAAATAATTGGAGTTGATCATCATCTACTCAGTCGATTTGTGGAAAGTAACAGGAGCCATTGAACAAATCTAAGTCCTCCTTAACCACCACAGAAACCCTAAAAAAATGATGTGGTTTACAGACCCCTTGCATGATGTCATATAATGCCTAGTGAATGCCCGGCCTGACAGAATGGCACACTAACCAAAATTCAATAAACATGCAAGAGCCTTAAATTCCTTTAGAGTAGCCTTCTTTCTGGACATAAAACTGTTGATCAAATCCTTTAAACTATTCTACTTATCAACTGGGATCCTTAACATCATTTCAAACGAATCTAACTGAAAACCCAAAAAGGTAGGGGAGTGGAAGGTCACACTTTTTTATCATCAACTATTGGGGGGACACCTAACTGCTAGCATAGCCCCACAAAGAATGATATGATTTCATCACATATATTCCTACCTGCCCTACCTGGAAACAAAAATCATCTAAGTAATGCACAACAGATTTCTGTCCAGACTGTTGCTTCAATATCCATTCCAAATATGATGAAAATTCATAAAATAGACTACAAGACACCACAAAATATTTATTTAAAACCTAAAAGCTCAAAGATCTGCCGGTGAACAGAAAGCAACCTAAATGCAGACTTCAGGTCCATTTTTCCCAATTCAAGGTTCCCTTACCCAAAAAACTTAGTAACCTAACCGCATCATCTAATGAGGATTAATTGACTGAGGAGAAAGATGGATCAATAAAGGAATTAACACTTAAGTTTTCCAGTTAAGATAAATGATGAATCAACTTAAATAATCCATCTTTTTTTCGGTACTAAACCTACAGGTGAATTAAAGCCTAAGACTGGGAAAGGGTCTTGAATGGAATGGGCCAGTAACTCTTCCAGCATTGATTTTTAAAACTTTCTTCAGAATCCCAAGATCATTACCTCTAGCTGACTTTAAATTAAAACAATTAGTAGCTACCCTTTTGACCATTAATTTAGAAACCTTCATAAAACCCCTTTGGCAAAATTTCTTAACTCTTCCTATTATAATCAGAGTTTTGTAAATAAGCTGCATAAACTTCTACTTTAACTGGGGAATAACCTAGGTCCTGCAGATTGTGTTGCACTGGGGGATCATGCTCAAGGCTGGGGTAGTCTTGGTGAAGGTCCCTGGTTCCTGTATTATAATGGGTATCTTTGACCTGAAAAATCTCTAGAAGCACATTGATATTTAGCAGACAGGCCTTTTTGCATGGATGAGGCCCGCTACAGTTCAAACATTTATGTAATTAATGGCACTGCTGTTTCACACAAACCCGATAGTTGTTATAGTCATAAAATTTAACACCCCCCCCCCCCCCCCCCCACAGAAGGTTTTTGCACCGGACCAATAAACGATGCAATTGCTCATTTTAATTACAATCAATTATATAATCTTTCCTATCATGAGAGAAATACTATAATAATATGGATTTATGTCTTTAATTTAACTTTTTTTTAAAATTACAATCAATCAACATATGTAACCTTTGCCATCGAAAGAGAAGAAAGGAAAGGTTATGTGCAAGTGAATGGAACTTGTCTGTATATTATATATTTTGTACATAATGAGTTGATATGATAGAAGTCATCATTAATCACTAGGAATTTATTTGAATCTAAGAATTTGATGTTTCACACTTAAGGAGGCTTGGGGGTCAACAAGTTAACCATAAGATACAACTCCAATTTTAAGATATGATATCTTAAGCTATCAACTATCATTTGGAAAATAAAAAAAAAGTTTTAGTTGTAATGTTTTGGAATTTACTAGAATTGTATCACAATCTGTTTATAATTGATTTGACACGTAAGCAAAGTTAGCTCTCTGATTCTCACAGAGTTCAGTAACCTACTGACATTATTCTGAAATTGAGTCACCTACCTTTCCTGTTTCCCAGGCTCCAAAGACTATAAAATATAAAATGATTTTGGTACAAAGACACTTACTTGCTGACTGATATCCAATGTAGTCAGGCTGTATATATTTGTGCTTATTAGATAAACTATATAAAATATATTCCGGTGTTGTTTCTGATATATTACAATGGCGACGAGGATGTACAAAACATGTTAACTCTGTGATTTAATTCGTTGGAGAAGTTAAATCTGAGATTCAATTAAATTTGAAGATATGGCAGCGAAAATCGATTTACCTTGTGTACCTCAGTTCGTGATAGGAGGAGAACTTACAAATGTAGCCCAAAGATGGGAAGATTGGATGAAGAGATTCAAATATTATATGGAAGCATCCGGAGTTACTACTCAGAAACAAAAACGTGCGCTTCTCCTACATTTAGTAGGACCTGAAGTTCAGGACATATATGATACTATTGAACATACAGGTGAGAACTTCGATGATACAGTTAATGATTTAAATACCTACTTTGCACCCAGAAAAAACGTTGCTTTCGAAAGACATATGTTTCGTCAGGCATCACAGAATGAAAATGAAACAGTTACAAATTTTGTGACACGATTGCAAAAACTGGCAATATCTTGTGACTTTGGAGCGGCAAAAGATGACAATATCCGTGATCAGGTCATCGATAAATGCAAATCAAGAGCACTAAGAAGAAGATTTCTGCGAGAAAAAGAACTCAACTTGATGAAAGTACTGAACATATCAAGGACCGTAGAAATGTCAGATAGACAGGCACAGAAAATGGAAGAAAATCCAGCTATTCCACAGGAGGTCAACAAAATTAACCAACAGATGAAATCGAAAAAGTTTCCAAATTTCGAAAAACCAAAACCAAGTCGTGCATGGGAACGGAATGGCAGAGGTCATGGAACACAACATTCTGGAAACAAAGGACCCGGAGGGCAACACCAATTCCCTAGAAACAACCATCGATGTTACAGATGCGGAAATCAAGGTCATTTTGGTCGTGACTGCAGAATAACACGGGGGAAAAAGTGCAATAAATGTGGAAATGAAGGTCATTTTGCAAAAGTGTTCAACACCAAGCGCCTTAATTGCGTTGTTGAAAATACTAACCCTGAATTCGCCTTCAGTGTATCTAAAAATAAAACACCTACAATCAAAGTTAAAATCAACAACAAAGATGTAAGTGTTATCATTGATACTGGAGCTAGTGTCAACATTCTGGACGGAGTAACATTTCGAACCTTGTTCCCGGACAATAAAGCTTTGAAACACCCAACATCAGAAATTTTTGCATACGGATCACCAAAACCACTGAAACAACTTGGTATCATTACGACAGAGTTGAAACATAACGGCGAATCTATTCGAACAACTTTCCATGTCATTCCCGGAAAATATGGAAACTTGATCAACAAAACAACAGCTGAGCAATTAAAGCTGATTAAACTGAAGCAGCATTTCATCCAAGAGATAACAAAAGAAGCTTCCACAATAGTTCAGGAATACAGTGACCTATTCGTTGGACTTGGAAAACTTAAGAAATTTCAACTCAAGTTACACGTAGACAACACAGTACGACCAGTAACTCAACCCATACGCCGTCTGCCATATCACATGCGTGAAGCTGTTGGAAACAAAATTGATGAATTGGAAAATTTAGATGTAATTGAAAAAGTTGAGGGACCGACACCATGGGTTTCACCTCTTGTTTGCATACCAAAACCGAAGCAAAACGACGTGCGAATCTGTGTGGATATGCGTCAAGCAAATAATGCGATAATGCGGGAACGATTTCCTATTCCGAATGTAGAAGAAACACTACAAGAAATGAATGGGACAACATGTTTCTCAAAACTTGATCTTAAATCGGGATTTCATCAGATTGAATTAGAGCCAATTCAAGAAACGTAACAACTTTTGTCTGCCACAAAGGTTTGTACAGGTACAAATGGCTCATGTTTGGAATTTCGTGTGCACCGGAAATTTACCAACGAATAATACAGCAAGTCTTACAAGGGATCACAGGCTGTAAGAATATATCAGACGATATTATTGTCTTCGGCAAAACAAAAGAAGAACATGATAAAGCGCTTCGGGAAGTTTTCAATAAACTTAAATAAATATATGGGACACATATTGTCGACGTCCAAAGAAGGAATTAAAGTCGACCAAGAGAAAGTCAAAGCGGTTCAGGAAGCAAAACAACCCAGTAATGCACAAGAAGTCCGCAGTTTCCTTGGACTCGTCAATTACTGTGCAAGATTTATTCCGAATTTAGCAACAATAGCTGAGCCAATCCGTAAGCTGACACGCAAGTCAACAAAATGGGAGTGGGGAAACACGGAAACAAAAGCTTTCGTCCAACTAAAAGAGTTATTAACATCATCAGAAGTTATGGCGTACTACAAACTAAGTGCAGAAACAAGACTAATTGTAGATGGAAGTCCTTATGGACTCGGAGCAATATTAGAACAAAAACAAGATGACGGAGAATTTCTTCCAGTGGCTTACGCAAGTCGTACCCTCACTGACACGGAGCGACGGTACTCTCAAACAGAACGAGAAGCACTGTCAATCGTATGGGCATGTCAACGATTTCAAACGTATTTGTATGGAGTAGATTTTACCATCTTGACAGATCACAAACCCCTTACCTACATATTTACACCAAAACACAAACCACCTGCTAGAATAGAACGATGGATCATGAAACTACAACCATTTAAATTTACTGTAATCTATACTCCCGGAAGCCAAAACGCAGCTGATGTACTTTCACGCCAGGAAAATGCAAACAATAATACTCCGACTCAAGAACAAACAAGCGCAGAAGACTATGTCAAGTTCGTAATCGAACACGCAGTACCAAAAGCAATGACCATAGAGGAAATCGAGCGCGAATCCGAAAATGACCCTACGCTGCAACAAGTACGGGAAAACATCGCTTCAGGAACTTGGACCAAATCGGACAAAATTTTACCTTTTTACCATATCCGATCAGAGTTATCAGTTCGAGGACCGATTATACTAAAACAGGCTCGAATGATCATCCCACAATCCCTGCGGAAGAGAACACTAGAAATCGCACATGAGTCACATCAAGGAGTCGTTAAAACAAAGGCACTATTTCGAGAAAAAGTTTGGTGGCCAAAAATGGACGAAGATGTTGAAACCGCTGTATTGTCATGTCATGCATGTCAAATGGTATGTAAATCAAATCAAAGAGCACCCGTTACGATGACAGACCTACCCACAGGACCCTGGAAAAAATTAGGAATGGATTTATGCGGACCATTCCCAACAGGAGAACAAGTATTAGTAATAGTTGATTACTATACCAGATACCCAGAAATCGAAATCATGAAGTCTGTAACTTCAGAAGCTATTATTAGACGACTAGTGAGAATTTTTGCAACCTATGGATTACCAGAAGAAATAGTCACAGACAACGGCAGACAATTCATATCAGATGAATTTGAAAATTTCTTAGCGCGGAACGGAATTAAACATCACAGAACTCTACCGTACTGGCCTCAAGCTAATGGAGAGGTTGAAAGGTTTAATGCAACACCAAAGAAATCTGCACAAATCGCAAAAGTAGAGCGCAAGGATTGGAGATTTGAAATATATAAATTTCTCCTAAATTATCGGAATACACCGCACAGCACGACAGGAGAATCACCTGCAAAATTAATGTTCGGCAGAGAATTGAGAACAAGAATTCCACAATTGCCACATTATCAAAGGAACAGAATTCTTAACCGTCGGGACAGAAGAAATAAAATTCGAATTAAAACATATGCAGACCAATTGCTCAACGCAAAATCTGGCAAATTGCTTGCGGGGGAGAAAGTGCTGATAAAGAACAATATGCCAAAATCCAAGTTAGACACAAAATGGAATGGACCGTTCACAGTTATATCTCACGAGGGCAATACTGTGAAAATTGACATTAATGGTAGAGCTACTTATCGAAACATCAACCACGTGCGACCCTTTAACGGCACGTGACAATGACAGTTTTATTAAACAAACATTTGTTGCTGAAGCGAAGGCACTTGACTCTTGAGAAAATGTTTAACCTCATTTTAAAATTTTTGTATGTCCATCTGTTAAGTATAAATTCAAAGAGGGGAGGATTGTAATGTTTTGGAATTTACTAGAATTGTATCACAATCTGTTTATAATTGATTTGACACGTAAGCAAAGTTAGCTCTCTGATTCTCACAGAGTTCAGTAACCTACTGACATTATTCTGAAATTGAGTCACCTACATTTCCTGTTTCCCAGGCTCCAAAGACTATAAAATGATTTTGGTACAAAGACACTTACTTGCTGACTGATATCCAATGTAGTCAGGCTGTATATATTTGTGCTTATTAGATAAACTATATAAAATATATTCCGGTGTTGTTTCTGATATATTACATTAGTTTTTAAAATTTGATGATTTTCATATGTTTTGCAAACTTGGTACAAAGCATCCTTGGGTAATAGGGAGTTTAAATTCTTGCATTGAAGTGCCAAGCTCTGTTACAAGGGTAGATACTCAAGAGATGACAAAAATAAGGTGGGGTCATTAAAAAATCTTCTCAAGAACCACTGGGCCAGAAAAGCTGAAAGTTATTTTGAAGCATTCTGATGTAGTATAGATTCTCAATTGTCAAAATTATGACCCCCAGGGGTAGGGTGGGCCCACATCAAGGAATCAGAGTTTTGCATTTAAATAAACATGTATTGGGAAAAATCTTCATATATCTTCTCAAGAATCAATAGGTCAGAAAAGCTGATACTAAATTACATGGGAGTATCCTGGGGTGGTGCAGATTCTGAATTGTTAAAATCACGACTTTTTGGGGGGTAGGGGTGTGTGGGGTGAGGACTGATAGGGCGTGACCACAATAAGTATTATTTACAGAGGGGAATCTGGTAAAGATTAGCATCACCAAAGTTTCAAAGGTGAGCAAGGTATATTTTTTCTACTTTTATTTAAAATTTTGCTGAAATTTGCCAAGATCAATGTAACTTAATGAGTTTACGTAACAAAAAGGTTATTTTTATGAACAATATGATACTTACAAATGTATTTGCAATACATGAATTGGAAGTTCTAAAATAAGACTCCTTCAAGAGTCACTAGCATAGAAACTATTTGAAAAATTCTTTAAATCCTATCAAAATCTGAACGTGTAATTTTACAATCGTCTAATAAGCCATTTTTCAAACTACGAGAGCAAAAATTGTGTGGTCAAATTTGTATATTATAATATTTGAATCCTACAACAAAATATCAAAGTTTCACAAAATTAAAAATGAGAGGAAAAAATTAGCTTATCTATTGTGCTCTACATTAAGGTTCCTTTAAAAGAAATAAATACATATAACTCTTTTAGTAGTGTTGAAAATGTCTTAATGATATATAAATCTATAAATGATGATCAATTAGAGTCCATTTTTATCGAGGAAAAATTATCTTCACAAAGGAATGCTGAGAAAAATAAGTTGGCTGCACTGTCTTGTATACATCTGTAGGAATGGCGAAATTGCAGTACATATGGTCTAAAAGGGATCCTGAGATTTGTGTTGGACTGTCAATGATCTGTTGGAAGCCAGAGGATGCAAAGAATGTTTCCAATAGCTTCTGCGATGGTGACTCTTGAAGGAGATTTACATTGAAATCTCCAGAAATAAGAGTTGGTATGTTTAGATGAGGAATGTTTTTCATAACATTGTCCATGTGGGTTAGGTAAATGTCTAATGTTTGATTTGGAGGTCTGTATGTGACAACGAAACAGAATCTCAAAGATGAATTCCTGTTAAATAATACAAGAGCAATGCACTCAACAGGTATATGACAGATCTGACAAATAAATTCTACACAATAATGATCACTAACATACACAGCTACACCTCCATGAGCAGAATGCTGTGTTCTAGATGTTGGAGGAGTTGTATTTTCCAAGGTGTGGTGTCTGTCTTTGCGGAAGATATGGTGATTTTTCCAACCATAATCACTGTCGCTGTCAGACGGCATTAAGAATGTCTCTGTAACTCCTAAAATATGAGCAGATCTGGCAGATGGATGGTTGATAACATCAACGAAATGTCTGTGCAATGATTGTGCATTGACTGCTGATATGCTGATCATCGAGTTGGAATCTGGTAGATATGATAGGGTAACAGGAGGAAAGAACTTCATGGAGTTCATGAGCCTTTCCATTTCAGCAATGGTCTTGGCATTGGTTTTGATTTTTTGGCTGTCAAAATTCACAAGATACAAGCCATTCAATGATTTTACTCTACTTAAAGCAACATAGAGCTGTCCTGGCTGGAACAGGCCATTGCAGTGTATAACAATGCTGTTCAATGTCTCTCCTTGCACCTTATGAATAGTGGTTGCCCAAGCAAGCGTGAGAGGAAAATGAAACCGGACTGCATGCACAGTTGAGTGTTTGCCTAACTGCACTTGAACCTGTTGTCAAACAATAGGTACAACTGTTGACTGATGCTGAAGATGGCGTCCGTATAAAATCCTGGTCTGATGTCCAATATTTGGGTTCTCAAATTCAATAAGAATAAAATTTGGTGTGTAGTTGTCATCTGCAGTAGTTGGCGGTCTTCGTATAAATCCTTTCACTGTTCCTTTAGCTCCATTTACCAAACCATCAGCTGTACTAATATTGTATGTCAGCATGATTCTAGCTCCTACAGCTAAATGAAGAGTTGAGCGTAAGCCTCCTGTTTCTGTTGCCTTATCTGAGAGATTTACAGCAATGGCACCTGTTGTAACATCCTTCTTTGAGTCTTGTGCTCTCACAACAAATTTTGAGGTTGAAAGTGATTCCAGTTTCTTGTTGTTGTAACTGTCTACTGCTTTGTTTGTGATGTAAACTTGGAGGATGTCTTCTGGAGGGTCATTTGTTTCCCTTGTACACAGTGTCCATACATCATCATTTGTGTGCTGTCCACTTCTTACACGGTTCAACAATCTGGCAAAAGATAAGTCATCTCTCTGCCTCATGATCTCTTGAAGTTCTACAATTTTAAAATGATTTTTCCATAGAGATCTATATAATCTTGCTATCTCTTCAGAAGGTTGATCAAAAAGAGCTCGCTGTGCAGGTGGAGGTAGTTGAAATAAATCTCCAAAGGTGAAGATGCTGAGTCCACCAAATATTTCAGAACTCCCTGTGATTTCTTGAAGACGGGGGTGTAGGAACAGAAGCATGTCAGCGCTTACCATTGATATTTCATCTATAATAACGACCTTCAGTGAACTAAGTTTGCATCTGAGTGTGTTCAATTTTTCTTGTGAGAGAGGCTTATATGTTGAAAACCCCTTCATTACAGGCAACAGAAAAGCAGAGTGTAAGGTCATGCCAAGCACATTAAAAGCTGCTGTGCCCGTAGGAGCTGCTGTAAGGACTGTTATTTCATCCGAGGTTTCTGTGACAGGTCGGAGTAAACGTAAAGCTGATTCTTGAATGGTTTTAATGAGATGAGACTTGCCAGTTCCTGCTCCGCCGCTGACAAATATGTGAAAAGCATCAGGTTTTGGAGGCATCTTTTTGCTTTGACATAACCTGGTACACCATGTGACAAAGAAATTGTGAACCAGAGTTTGCTCCTCATTCAGCGAGTGGATATGCTCTCTCCACTGGTGGTCTGTCAACCTGGAAGCTAGTACTTCATAAATGACTTGGGGAGATTCAAGTGATGGGTCTCCATTGGGAACTCTTTTTCTTCCTGGATCCATAAAATCAGCAATTTCATCATCCATAGAGCCTTCTCTAGCAGCATCAAGGTTTGCTTGCACTGTTTCTGGGGCCAGATGTCCCAATGCATCAGGATCAGGAGCACCATTTTCTTCAATGTCATCTAGTGCTTCTTCTTTTAACTGTGCATGTTTTTCAAATCTCAGCATCATAGCGTTGATTTGATCAGTGTACATTGTCAATTTTTTCTGGAAAAAATCTCCTTCAAATTCACAAGGTCCAATGTCTTTTTCCTCGTTTCTCCATGGGACATATAGCAACAATAATGCATAGGAATACTTCTCAGGATTCTTTTTCTGTGAGACCTTGTGTGTTCGTATGACTGCTGTCTTTTTTCTCCTCACCATTTTTTTCCATCTGTTAATGTGATGTAGTGTGGGGATTCCAGGTCATCCGCTATACCAATCACCTCTGGATTTGTGTCCTCAGAATCAAAATTTGAGTAGGATGTTGTGTATGTTACAGCAAATTCTGCTAAGCATATGTCTGACAGATAAAGTGGTCGCATAGAATATTTGTCAAGAAGACCAACTTGATAGATATCTTTATCATCATCTTCCATTTGTTCTATGACAGCTCTGGGTTTCAATAATTTCACTCTCTCTGTCGGTGGATTAGTTGAAACAAATATTCTTTGCCTGTCAAAATAGCACAATGGAAGTGACAACACTTGAAAAGTCGCCTCTTGAGCATTGACTTCTCTATGGGTCAGGAACTTGCTTGCTACAGTTCTTAGCTGTCGTGTTATATCCATGTTAGAACACTCCTTACTAATAGACTTCAGGAGATCTCCTAATGTTCTCTCTGCTTTGCTTATATATGAAGCAATATACATGATGCATGTATATGGGTTGCAGACAAGTTGGATGTCCATATTGGCCTTCCATAGTTTAAGAAGTGTAGGGTTGTAGTTGTTTACATACTTCTGGCTGGGTTGTCGTTTCATAATAATAGCATCTGTTTTTCTGCACTGAGAGAGTGCAGAATAGTAAAGTTTTTTTGGAAGTCCGATTTCTTTCAGTAGATGCTCTGTGGTCATATCTTCTCCCAGCTCATCCAGTTTGGCATATACGAGAGATAGTATTTCTTTCACTTGAGCATCTTTCATATTGGCTGGTTCACTGGATGGCGCTTATTGATTTTCATCTGTCTTTTTCACTGTTTTAATCATAATGGTTCTATCTGTTGGAGGCTTGGGAAATGAAAATCTACAGTTTTTGCCTGGTTTCCTGCATGAAGGAGAATGTACATGACTCTGAATTTTTTTTACCAATTCACAAAGCTCTTCATCATCTGTTGGTATATCACAGCTGACATACTGATCATGGAAATTTCTGATTTCTTCATCAATGGAATTCTTAAAGTCTGGTGTTCCTTCCACCCAGAATGCCATATGCGCATGGGGAGATCCCCTCTGTTGAAACTCAATTCTGTACATGTACATGGTGACTCTCCCAACAGGCTGCTGTGGACTGAGAAGGACATTTTTGATGAACTGCTTTAGTCTATAATCAAAATGTCTTGCAATAGTAACTGGATTTTGTCTGATCCATCTGCATCTCTCCTCCCATGTCATGTCTTTTACATCCTGGTCTTTGAAATTGTGTCCATATTGTCTTCCTATTATCTGTATCCCTTCTGGCCATTGCAGATCTGCTGCTGAGAGTGTAATAAACCATGTGAATGATCCCAGCTGCTTAACACAGGCAAGTAGTTCTAACAACATCTTGTCAAAGTATGCTGGAGAACCTCTGATTTGAGTAAGGAATTTGTAGCCATGATCTTTCAGAATCAATGCTGATAGCTGTGATGGATCTTTTGCAAGTCCAGCATTCAATTTTGAAGATGAAGCCTTCCTCATGGCTACAGATATGGAACCATTGATGTGTTGAAGATCTCTACTGTGTTGTGCGTAAAAAATGTAATCCGAGTTGCGAGCAAATCTGCCATCTCTATGTAAAAGTCTAGCATTAATATATCTACTGAGTGATAATTTAATTTTACGTTTTGTATCAAATCCAAATTTTCCATCTGGAAACAGTTTAGGGAAGGCAAAAACTTCATTGTTGTCATCGGTCAGAAGTGACACAGGTGTTTTTCCTTCACCATGTGCAATTGATATAATTTCATTTCCTCTGTACTCTTGCTGAATACATGTATCATAAGCAATGCCTCTTGTTTGAGATATGTTTTCAGCATTCAACAAATCATCATCCTCTCCTGACCATTCATCATCATCATTTCCTAAAGTACTGTGTTCATAAGCTCCATCACTACCATGAGTATTGTCTTCCTCATTATGTGGGTCTGTTCTCTGATCAGGATTCCCACTGTCATCATCCACTGATTCATTCTTTTTAGTATGTGGCTCTGTCAGTCTTTCCCACAATGATGGATTATCTCCAGCGGCCAAATCTTTCCAATTTTCTAAGACAGGAACATCTTTGTAAAATTCATTGTTTTCCTTGAAAAACAGTAATGATGATATAACTCTGTCTGGAGTTATATGCTGAAACTCAACATGACCTCTGTATTCTAGCTTTCTCTTCAGTTTGACTGGAATGAGTCCAGAGTTGGTGGGAAGTCTGGGTAACAAAGTACATGTCTGTGAACTATCCACAGGAACATTTACCACAGTGCCGTGTACAGCTTTTTGTCTTCCACGGGGTAGGGCAAGTATCTTCATGAATATGAGTCTTTGGGAAACTAGTCTGGCCTCAAAATCAGTTAATGATATCAAAGGTTCCTTTAGCTCAGTGAGGTGAAGTTCATTTACTGTTGCTTGTCCAGGTATTTTCTTCTTGTGCAGTGAAAGAATGCATGTTTTACATATGTAACTAATTCTTTCTGATCAAAAGACCAGCCTGGCAGTGCCTCATTCAAAATATCTGGATCAACTGTTTTGAACGTATTCTTGGTAATCTTATTTACAGTATGTTCATAGAGAAGCCGATTACAACATATGCATACAAACGAGGGTCCAGATTTGATTTTGTGAAGGAATGTCTGATATGGATTTTGAAGGTTTAGTTTTTTATTTACTGATTTTCTCTGCTGATCCCTTGTTCTGATTTCATTTTTTTTCTCATTAGGTAAGTGTTCTCTTTTGTCCTGTTTTCTCTTTTTTCAGATGCCTTCATGGTCTTCTTGATTTCTTCAGGTAAATGCTCTCTTTTTTCTTGTTTTCTTTTTCTATCTGATGTCTTTATGATTTCTTTGGTTTCTTAAGATAAATGCTCTCTTTTTTTCTTTTTTTTTCTTTTTCTATCTGATGTCTTTATGATTTCTTTGGTTTCTTTAGGTAAATGCTCTCGTTTGTCTTTTTTTCTCTTTTGATCTGAAGCCTTGATGATTTCTTTGGTTTCTTTAGGTAACTGCTCTATTTTGTCTTTTTTTCTCTTTTGATCTGAAGCCTTGATGGTCTTCTTGATTTCTTCAGGTAACTGCTCTATTTTGTCCTGTTTTCTTTTTCTTTCTGAAGCCTTGATGAACTGCTTGGTTCCTTCAGGTAACTGCTCTCTTAATATGTCTTTCTTTTTGTTTCTATCTGATATTCTGACAGAGTCTCTCAAATCAGAAGGCATTTTTTGACGATAGTTGGACAGCCGTTTTCGCTCTTTTGCTTTTAAAATGGTTTTTTTCTTTATCAGGTAAATTCCTTCTTTTGTCTTTTTTTTCTTTTTCTATCTGATGTTTTTATGATTTCTTTGGTTTCTTCAGGTAAATGCTCTCTTTTGTCTTTTTTTCTCTTTTGATCTGGAGCCTTTATGATTTCTCTGATTTCTTCAGGTAACTGCTCTCTTTTGTCCCGTCTTCTGTTTCGATCTGAAGCCTTGATGGTCTTCTTGATTTCTTCAGGTAACTGCTCTCTTATGTCCCGTTTTCTTTTTCTTTCTGATGCCTTTACGTTCTCCTTGATTTCTTCAGGTAACTGCTCTCTTATATCCCGTTTTCTTTTTCGATCTGATGCCTTGATGTTCTCCTTTATTTCTTTAGGTAAGTGTTCTCTTTTGTCTTGTTTCCTTTTTTATCTATGTCTTTTCTTTCTCTTTTCTGTTCATCTGACATTCCTTGTCTATACTTGGCCATTCTTTTCCTTGTTGATTCTTTTTTCCTCTTTGTTTTCCATTCATCTTTTGTTTTCTGATCAGTTTCCGACTGCTGTGAGGTCGAATGGAAATCTTTTTCATTTGCGGGGTCATTAAAACTATCAGTAGAATTTTTTTTTCTTCTTTTTGATCAGTCTGCATTTTACCATCTTGCATCATGGTAGGATCATACTTTTCTTCAGTGTCTGCTTTTAGCTTTGTATCATACGCCATCTCTGTATCTTCATTAGTTCTTTGAGTGGCATACAATCTCATTTGCTGTAATCTGGACCGATAGCTCTTTCTTTCACCTTGTTTTGGCATATTTATTGACTCTAAAAAAGGAGGGAAAAATAACTAAATTTTCAAAATACATGTATGACAAGCCCAAGGGGTTGAATGGCAATGATCAAGGGTGAACAATATGGAAAATTGGGTACTCAGTAGCAAATCATAGAGTACATCTATTTCATTGCTCAGCTGATACTTGTCATTACTAACTACAGTCACATTTGTCACTCACTGGTCAAGCAGAAAACCCATCACTTTCCCTCTAAGACTTGGACTCCTTAAATAACATTTATGCATAATGATCTATGATCTATATCTTTAAATATCTAATATCTATTATATACAGGTCTATCTTACTATTAACTAGTGCTAATTGTAACGGGAACCGTTACAGATGTTCCTCAAACGCTCCCCTACTCCCTTTTGGTGCCATAATACCTGTAAGCTTCATTAAAAAAGACAAAATTTATGCATTTTAGACTTTAACAACGTTTTCCCAGAAGGATATCAATTATATTCAAATTTTAGCATCGCATGTAAATGCATGTGCGTTATGACCATATCATCTTGTCTACACTATCTATATATTTTGATATACTATATATTAAAGCATTCAGTCCAAAAGTATTAAAAATCACTCATTTAAATGTATTTTTAATTTCACCTGTTCCAAATGCACGCACGTGCGTGCACGTGCATGATGACCATACCTTCTTGTAGGAGTTTTTTATAATCATCTATGTTTTAAATCCCATCCTGTTTGGTTGAAAAACAAGGGAGTTATAGCCATTTCAAGTTTCAGCCAATCAGATTGCAGCAAACGTGCATCCGCGTGATTTCATGAATTTTTTTCTATATTATATTGTAGGA